ATATATATATATTATTTACTTTTTTTTTCTTTCTGTAGCTAAGGGCAATAGGTAATGAAGAGCTACTATTGTCTGGCTCAAACAAGATTGGGTCTTTTGCAATATGACCAAAAGCAGAGTGATTGGAGAGTGATCAAAACACGTGTATTACATTTTGTGTTAATTGTTATGGTACCCCAAAACGGCAGTCTATCACTTTGTGCTTTAGATGCTGTGTTCTTCATTATATTAAATTATCAGGTTCAGCAATTTAAGGGAGGATATATTGAAAATTAAAATGTGAAATAATAAGCTGAAATGTTTATATTTCGAAGCAAGTGTTAGATTGTATATTTTGCTTTGTACCATGGCCGTAATAAGTTTCAAGTATCATTATAATATTTCTTTTAAGGTCCTGCAGCTAAGCCAATAGATTGCGAAGAGATACTTCTGTCTGGTTGCAACGAGAGTGGGCCATATGTAATCTGGCCTAGAAGTAGAGTTACTGCAAGAAAATCAATTGACGTTTATTGTGATATGGAAACAGATGGAGGAGGGTGGACGGTATGTTGCGTATCCTACTCTATGTAAACAAAATAAAACTAGCTAGTTTTATATAAACAAGGTTTTTTTTTCGCACAGAAACAGCTTTTTACTTAAAATTATTTTTGAAATGAAATAAACATTTTATGCATTACTAATATAATTGCATACTAATCTGCAATACTAATATAATTTGATTCGTATACATAAAAGTATTAAAGGAAGTTACGGTCAAATTATTTATTCAAATTGAACAGAAACAAAATATCATTGGTTGATGCTTTTATTTAATTTTTGAGCTGTTCACGTTTTCTTAACATGCAATGATCCTATGCAACATGTCCTATGCTACGATGGGATGCAATCTTAGGATGTACAGTGTTTATCAATAGAGAGTTTTATTGCAAATGTTGTTTCGATCTTTAAAAAAAAAAATCAATATGTTAAAAAAAAAAAAGTAGAAAATGAAATAAAAGTAATTTGTTGTTACAAATATTGTGATAGCTATAAGTTTAGGCAGTGTTATTTTTGTTTTTATTAAAATGCAATTATTGTTTCATTTCTTCAGAATCTCCCTCTAACTTAAAGGTTGTGAAGTTCAGGCGCGAAAAAATAAATCTGAAAAAATAAATAGCTGAATATAAAATAAAATTACAATGTCATAATAATAAAATGTGCTGTTGTTTTGAAAATTGGAAACGAAGCACGAGTAAATCAGAGGAGAAAAAAAAAGCATTTATAATTTAATTATAAAAACTTTTGTAATCAACTGAAATTCCCTTCACTCATAGATCTCTCTTAGGTATGCTTATATTTATTCAATTTTTTCTTTCTTCAAACTACGGTTTTCTCTGGCAGTGTCTAATCAATGTTGCAAAATTTGGTGGCAAAACACACCTCATTCTTTTAAGATGATACTACACAATAAAATCAAAATAATTTAATTTGAACTTTTTATGATATTCCTTATAAACTAAGCGAAAATTACACAGGTATATACTGATTATCAGATGTTCTAATGGAACCCTAGCCCTCGAAATTGTTCTCAAGAGTGCCCTAAATGCATCATTCTAAGCAACTATTTCAGTGTTTAAAAGCGTTTAAGATAAATTATTAAAAAAATATTATAGACTAACTACATTAATTGATAATAAAACCTACTTTTAGACAATTTAAATAAAGCTTAGAATTTTATCATTCAAATTTGCATAGTCTTATAAAGAATGCATAAAATTTGATACCAAGATTTAAGGCCAATTTGATCCTAGTCGGGTTTTAGACACAAGTGTTTTTTTTTAAAAATAAACTTAAATAATGTTTGAAGTTACCAGAAAATCATCAATAGAAATGAACTCTGGTTCCAAATCATGTTACATTTGTTATAAATACAGCGATTTAAAATTTCAAATTTTCCTAAACTTCTAAAATATACTTCTATTTCTTTTTTTTTACAAAATATTATTTTTTAATAATCAGCTCACGTAATTTTTAATTGACTTCCGGCAATTTAAAAACTCGCAACCGATTTCTCTTTTTCGTACACAAATAAAACCTTCAACAGTTTCAATTTAAAATGACATTAAGAAAATCAAACTTAATTTGAGTAAGATATAATAAAAATAATAAATAAATTCGTAATAGAAAAGTAATTTTTTAACTACCACCCAACTCAATGCGTGCTCATATTATTTTTGCGAATAATTTTTTTCGAATCTCACAGATATACTTCAGAACAAAATCATCCTATTTGTAGAAGTTTCTCTTGAGATTGGATAACAAGTGTGTATTATATTTGGTTATTTTCTAGTTGGCATTGTTATTACTTCTCTTTCTGTTAAAATGCTTTAAAACAAATATATACACACATTTTATTCATTTATTTTTCGAAACAGGTAATTCAAAGACGAGGAAATTTTTCACGACCGCAAGATTACTTTTACCAAAATTGGGCAAATTACAAATCTGGTTTTGGTCATATTGAAAAGGACTTTTGGCTAGGTAATTCTTAAACTTGACGTATTATAAAACTTAAACAAAATTTATGAATATTTTGTGATACGATGAATGTGATAATTGGCAACAATTCTAATAATTTGACGATAATCTAATATGGAATAGTTAATGGAAACAAGTATTTGTTTTGTGCAAATATTCAACGATTTATTAAAACTTATCTGTGCGTCTTTATCACCTAAAGGAATCAGAGTGCAGTTTTTCAACGGTAAATAATAATCAATTTTATAAAAATCATTTCTCTGCCTGATTTTTTTAATAAATAGTTAGGAAGAGAGACCTGATGAGTGAAACTAATCCTGTGATATATATGTTGTTGTTGCTGCTTATGCCCAATTGACCAACAGAAGCATTAAATCAAATCCATGAATTCATCCAAAAAGCACCTAAAGTACTATTGCAGCAGGGTTGGAGACCAGGTGGCTCTTCTAGCAGCCAATACACGATAGGATGTGGGAGGATGCAGACTGGCTCACATTGTACTTAGGGTAGGGTGGCTGGACTTTAAGGCCCACAACGTGACGTCGGGATCGAGTGTGTCTGCTGCTTTCTAAGTCTGGCAAATAATATATANGGATATATATATATATATATATGACTTTTCCTGACACTGACATATGTACTAACTTTCAAGGGCGCCGGCAGCGGGGTGCAAGGGGGTGCACCCCGCTGCCGGCCCCCCTGGCTTTCTTTTAAATAATTAAAGAGATACAGAAAAGCAATTTTGTTATAAAATTTTTTAATGAAACATATTTTTATTGAAAAATAAATAATTAAGTAATTATTGATACATAACAATTAAAAAATTGTTTAATCAAACAAGAAGTGTAATCGTCTTGCTTGCTGTTCAAATCTGTTTATAACTTTTTCAATGAATTCTGAGCCATCTTTGATTCTTTTCTTATGCACACTGAGCATGCACAAACTTGACAGATATCTAAGCTATATTTTTAAATTTCATTTAATAAAATATAAGTAATACTATATTTTCTATTAGTTATTTAGTTTAACAAAGGTGTATGACACAAACTGACTTCTCACAACTGTAAAACTTCATCAACACAATAAATACCAATGTTAAGCGTGCACAAACACGTTAGTATACGAAACTGCTGTTTGTAGTTATTTGTGTTTCAAAGTCAGTAGCTATGCCAGCGCCATCAGTATAGTTTCTCGTGGCAAAATTTGCAAGTAAAGAAATTCGTCCTTTTTGTTGAAATATCTTGCTAACAGTGAAGAAATGTATACTGAAGAAAATTAACAGATGAAAATATATATAATAACAAAACAAAATGTAATAACAATATTTAAAAAAAAGAACTTTTTTTTGAGGGGGGGTAGTTTGTTAGAGGGTTGCACCCCCTTTTATATAATTCTGCCGGCACCCTTGCTAACTTTGCAGATTTGAAATGATTGAACGCAAAATCATACACACAATCATTAGTTTTTGAACATGTAAGAAGGTCCTTCTGACCGCCATTTCCATGAAGTACACTTTACTGGAAATAGTAAATTATTGAAAGCAGTCTTTTATGTTTTATTAATGAATAACATTTAACAGAAAGTTCCTGAAAATTAAAAAAAATCAAAAATATAATGAGATGCGCAATTAATCTGATCACACACATTCTCTCCAAAGTAATTTATACAAATATAAGTGTCTTATTTGTAGATTTTTAATAGTAAGTAGCATTTGACCGAAATGAAAAAGTTATTGTTTTCAAAAAAGTTCTTTCCCTCAAAATATTCTCACTTAAAGAGTTAAAATGTTATTACAGGTAATGACAAAATTTTCGCATTGACGAACCAAAATCTCTATTCAGTTCGTTTTGAATTAAAAAGTGTGGACGGAGAAAGCAGGTATGCCTTGTATGACAAATTTTGGATAGATGACGAAATAAACAAGTACACGTTGCATATTGAGGACTATAGTGGAAATGCAGGTAATTACAGTTTTTTTTTCTTTTTAACTACTTTAATGTATTTTTTCTTTCAAAAATTAAACTCAAGTGTGCATTTCTAATAAGTGAGAATTATTGTGTAAGTGTTTTTAACTGTTGAAATTAGTGATAGAATGCTTCTTCTTTTTCACTGGCACAACAACCCTGGATGGGCCCTGACCTTTCTCAGAATTCCTTTTAATCTTAAATGTTCCTATTTTACGATTTGCAATATGTCAATATTTTATAGTCATCAAAAATATGACTATAAAATGTCTCCTGTATTACTAGTATTCATAAACAAGGTTTTTTAGGAATAAACATAAAATTCCTTCCTAGATATTAGAGAGTTTTAAATTATCAGAGAATAAGAAGAAAAACATATACACATTTTATAATTAAAAATCTTTATACCGAAATTTCTAAATAGTGTTATTCATATATTTTGCTTTAACTAATGTAATCAAATATTAGATTTTGCCATTCCTTATTAATTTTAATGAGAATAAATAAAAAGTTGTTAAAATATCTATTTTACTAGAATTAATTCTAGAGCAAACTACTTTAATAATTGAAGGTAAAAATATTTGAATTGCGTGAATGGATTCATAAGTATGTGAAAATAAGCAAAAATAGCAGCATTTAGGGGCTCAAATTTTCTACAGCAAATTTTGTAAAACTGTTCAATCTATTACGATAACCATTATATTTTGATGGGTACAAATTAGAATCCGTCGTAAACTGTCAGTGGGCTTTATCTCAAAGTGCTCTATTCATGTTTTTTCCTATGTAATGAATAAATAAATAAATAAATTGATTCTGTGCGTTGTGTACTTAAAGGGGCAATTGCACAACTGCCCAACTTTGGTTTTGTGTCAGATTTCGTTACTTAAAATATTGTACACATTTGAGGTAACTTAGCAAATTTAAAGGCGAGTCTCGAGTCAGTATGTGAAACACCGGTCCTTAGATCTTTAAAATATTCGAAGTAATAAGTCCTTTTCATTTTAAGATTCGTACAAATGAGAATTTAATTGGTTCTGTTTATTTTAAAATATTGATAGCAATGTAAGAGCTTTGCCAATGACATGAGATAGGGAGTCTGGTACTATTTCTCGACACTCGGTTGCCTGACAACTCAATCGCCCGACTCCATTTGCCTGATAACTCATTTGCCTGAAAGGAATGTTTGCTCGACATATCATTTCCCCAATGGATACGATTGCCCGACAACTCATTTCCTGATAGGTACGTTCGCCAGACAGGCATTTGCCCAATAAAAGAAATTACAAAAATAACTGATTGGCAGATATATATTGGCAGAATCGGATGAATCATTAATTTCTGAAAAATACTAATTACTCAGCGTAACTCTTTAGTACAACCCTCCATTACAGCCACCTTACCGATTGATACATTAAGTATGATTTGGTTTCTTAATTCCACAGACGCATTTTTTGCCTTATCACCTATTAAAACAATCGCACTGAACCATTCCTTTTAATATAGCAAGCGACATTTTGCAATTTAATTCCACAAAACCTTTCTATCTTACCACCTACATAATATGAATCACCTTGAAATCCATCTGAAGGAAGGAAAATTAACGCGGCTCTTTGATTTTTATTCCGAGTTACAGTCAAATTAGCAATCGTGTAATTAATATGAATAAGTCCTATAAGCAATAGCTGACAATTTTATAAAAACTATACGGGAAAGTAACGAAAAACTGAATTCATTTACCTTACTTACTAGCCCTATTGGGAAAACGTACCCGTTGAGAAAATAAATTATAACGTAAATATTCGGGCAAACGAACCTGTCGTGAAAACGTAGTAGGGAATTTAAGTTGTCGGGGTACAGAGTGTCGGGTAATTAACCGGAACCCGAGATATGTTTCAACAGATAAGTTTCAAATCAATTAAAAATTCTCCTTTGCGATATACACCTTATTTATTTATTTACAGCTTAAATTCTTGAACTTGTTATTTCAGGTGACTCCATGTTGAAAGTTCACAACAACGCGCGATTTTCAACAAAAGACGTTAAAAACAATCCTGGCAAAACTCACTGCGCTCAAACTTACAAGGGCGGATGGTGGTATAATGAGTGTCATACTGCTAACTTAAACGGATTATATTTGGGAGGAAAACACAAGACTTACGCTGATGGAATCAACTGGATCAGTTGGAAAGGCTATTACGAATCACTGGATGAGACTGAAATAAAAATCAGGTCCAAGACTTTTAAGAAAAGGAATTAGAAATGAACTGCTAATGCAATATCAATACCTCGAAATGTTCATAATGGAGAATCTGAACTTTTCTCACGATTAGTGCTCAAGAAAATTATTCAATTTGAAGAAGATTCAATTGTGATTAACATGACTAATAATGAATTAATTCTATTTATGCCAATTTGATGTGACATTTATTATGTATCTTATAAAAAAATGCCTAATGATTTCATATCTTATTCAATTTTACCGTGTATAGGAATAAATACTTATATCATAACGATTCATTTTTTTTTTATAAAAGTAACAGGGTGTTTTAAAATCCGTAAGTACTCTCGGTTGCGGCTATACAAACAAACTGCGGTGTCATAATAAAATGTCATGCGGTGTCATGCGGTGTCATAATAAAATGTCATGCGGTGTCATAAGGGAAAGTGTAATGAGACCGGGTAGTTAAATTTCTAAGTCCTGTTGGAGCTAAACTGTTTGACTTAGAAACTCTCAGATTTAAACAAATAGTTCATTGTTTAGTTGTGTATCATTCCTGAAAAGACATTGACGTCATAAATTTTTTATAACGGATTTTTTTTTCTGGAAAAAGTCAAATACACCCTAGCCTTGTACCCACTAGTTGGGTAAGATCTGGTGCACATGTTTACTGTATGGGAAATTTTGAAGTACTAGAATAGGTGAAAAAGGAGCAGACTTTTCATTTCATTTTATATGGCTATTTAGGAATATTATGCATGTAATTTATACATCATGTAGTCATAGCCGTAGTGAGCGACGGCCAGATCAAAAAATTCCTTACAAAAAATTTAGTATTCATTAATTAGCTTTTTATAAAAAGGAACATTTTAGAGAATTTCTTTATATCTATATAAAAAAACTAGTTTTGCTTAAAGAGTCTTCAAAAACTTTACGAAGACGAAAAAAAAGTTTTTTTAGATTTGAGAAAGAGCCCGGAAGGAATTTTGTCTTATGGCTCGTAGAATCTTTGTTTGACATAGTTATCTTCTTACTCCGTTGCACTGCAGCTTTCGCGAGCCTAGCATAGACACACATAAAGAGGGTTGAGAGACAAGAATAGTTAGATCTCGGGTCTTACACCAAGAACAGAGGTTATCGAAACAAAACAGAAGTCATGGATAGTAACAGGAGCTTCTGGTTTTGCAGCAATGCGTCACTCGAGGGCGTCTCAAACATGCGGGATCAGATTTAGATCAGGAGAGCATGCTGGGCATTCCATACACCGTATTATCCCAGCTTCAAAAAAGTTTTCCATAAGATGAATTGTATGAGACCTGGCATTATCCTGCATTAAAAGAATCACGAATGACGTCAGCGTAAGATACGACATGGTATCTCCGGCTCTCGTCTGCATATCTTTGAGTCGTCAAATAACCATTCCGTAAAGTAAGAAGATCAGTACGTCCGTCTATGCTGATTCCAGCCCAGGCCATCAAATCTCCTCGTCTGTAATGTAATCTTCCCTCAATGAAAATATGGTTATTTCGAGTGTTTTTTTCTCGCTCTACCAAATCAGGTTTGGTGTTGCACTCGAAACTGAAACTGGTACTGAATCTTACGGTACATTCAAGGTACAAATTTTTAAAGCGAAACAAAATTACATTAGATTTTCCAAATCAAGTTACAGTTATATTTTCTAGGTCCAGTTACAGCTGTTTAATATTTTTACGACAATATTAGAAAATGATTTATATTTTGTGCTGAACACCTAAATTTTTAATTTTTTAGTGTCGAATGCTTTGAAGACATGTCTCATTATAAGAAAAAATATTTCAATACGTGTTATAGAACTGTTTACAGAAAGTCACAGCACGTCAGACCTTTTCCAGCCTCTGAACTGATAAGTTATTCATGTCCCTGTTAACTGTTAAGGATTAAATTTAGTTTTACGTGTTCGTCCTTCCTTTCCCTTGTTTCTTTGTTTTATACTTTTTGAATCTTATATGTGCTCCATAGTTTTTATAAGTGATTAGTGAATTATTGATGAGCCTGCTGGAATCTTAATTTTTGCCCATTCAGTTTCAAATTGCTATCAAACTTAGCGGTCTGAAGAAATGATCAAAACATCTATTTGACTTTTAATAACTCTTGCACCCTAAAATTTAGTTTTTGTTTGCTGGAGATGTTCAATATATCTATTTCATTTTAAATAGCTCTTGTTTGTTCTCTCTGAATTTTAGTTTTGGTCACTGGAGATCGACTCATCTGTTTAGTGTTTGTGATGTATCGATCTATTAATCAGTGGACTGTAACACACATAATAATTTATTTACAAATTTAAAGATATAAAGTTGACCGGATCATTGTGAAGTAACAGGGAGATGCACCCTGTTCCAGAGTTGAATGGTAACTGAATGATATTGACATGAGCGCCGCCTCGTGGCATAATTTGACAATTCTTAACATCATCTTTTTTTGAAGGGCAAGAAGTCCTGAGTTTTTTAGAACCTGATATTGTTGTACAAGTTACTTAATTTTTATTTTAAATTGTTTTAAACGTGGATATTCAACTTATTAACTGAACCTATATTTTAATAATAAACAGTTAAAAGGCTCTCGAATTTGAATTTGTTAATTTTGCTTCTCATGTCAGTTAGAATCTCTCTGGTTAAAGTTTATATTATTCAATGTTCAAAAGGTTAGAATTATTTCAAGTTTGAGAGCTGAAAATCGAAAGAAAAAACATATTTATTATTTAAAACAAGGCATATTATGATTAATAGCAGACGTCGTAGGAGAGGAAAGAAGGTGTTGATAAAGCAAATAAAATCTTTTTTAATGTTGTTAGAATTTTTTTTCTTAAATTCTTTGGATGTTTTAATACTATTTTGCGTAAAATACATTGCTTGTCTTTAATTTTAAAAAAGTTCAGAATGCCATTAGCTGTAAATCAAATAAGCCATAACAGGATCTTGGCCAAAAGGTGCATAAACTATGCAGATGACATNTATGATTAATAGCAAATAAAATCTTTTTTAATGTTGTTAGAATTTTTTTTTCTTAAATTCTTTGGATGTTTTAATACTATTTTGCGTAAAATACATTGCTTGTCTTTAATTTTAAAAAAGTTCAGAATGCCATTAGCTGTAAATCAAATAAGCCATAACAGGATCTTGGCCAAAAGGTGCATAAACTATGCAGATGACATTTATTTATAATTATTTTTATCTTGGAAAACAGAAATTTTTGAAAGTAGTTAGGAAGATTATCCTATTCCGTATTTAAACAAGTTAAAAAAAGGAAAAGGAAAGTTTATATGGTTGGCTTAGAGATATTTTTAATGTAAAGAAAAATTCTTGTATAAAAAAATATCGTCTCCTTGGAGACATAGAATTATGATACACTTTGATTTTAGTTTCGTTTGTGTTTTCTAGTCGTGTATCATTGTCTGAGGGCGCAGCTCAAAGTCAAATATTATCTTTTGAAAACACTTCAAAATGCAGATTTATAAAGAACAAAAAATTTTTTTTTTGATAATGGTTATACTGGGAAGAACCCACCTTATCGTCCTGTCTGGTTCATTCATGTTTAAAGACTGATTTAAACACCTTTATTTAATGTTAAAGTGAGGGATAAAGAGGTATAGAACTCAAAAGAAGACTCAAATGATGTAAGTATGTCTTTTTTGTATGAAATGCTTAAAAAATACATAATAATTGCTATGGTTAAATTATTTTACAAACTTCTTCAAATTGAAATTATCTTATTTTTTTTAATCCATCCCAAATTTTAACCTGTATTAAAAATGCTTCTCGTACTGTGTGAAATAATGCTGTGATTGGCATGATCTTGGAACATTTTATTTTGTCGTAAAATTTCTTCATAGAGTTTTGAATATTTTTACTAAATATGATTGCAAGTTTATTAGTTCTTACGCAGAAAAAAATATCTTGATATTATCGTATTCTATGGTGATGGCATTTCTGGTTAAAAGGAATAAAAATGCTGACATTGGACACTGAAATATACGGTATTTAAACCATTCATTTGGTAATTTTTCCGTTCATATGGCAAATGGTGTACCGGAAATTCTGGTTTTCAAAATTATAGTTCTTATTCTCACACATTTAGTAAAGAATACAAAACTGAAAAGTAAATTTAACCGAATAAATGGTTTATATACCACGGTCTAAGTTATAATGATAAAATTACCAAATTACAAAATTTTTATCACACATTATAAAACTATATTTTATTGTCAATTTTCCAAAAGCATTTGTTAAAAAATTAACCGAGCTTTTTGAAATTCTCATAGAGCAAGAAACACAATGAATTTACATTATTCTGGTATTTTTCACCACATCGTGATAGGAGAATGCAAATTTGAAAAGGTGAACTCATTTATCAGAATGAAGGACAGGTCTCGTCTTCTTGAGAAAGCCAGGGTGCTGATGATGGTGCGTGACTTATTACTATTTTAGCTTTTTAGTTTCTGTGTTTGATCGAATCCCGGTCAAGGCATGAATGATTTTTTATTCTCTGTACTATCTGTCCGTACTGTGGCAGCAACGTTGACCCACCTAATATGGTGCCCCTGAAAGAGTGGCCAACAAATCTGCCCATTAGATGCCTATATGACGAAAGGTCATTCTCCAGGTGGGCATTAAAAAAAGTTACTGCGTCTCTTCATCTGCTCAGTCGCATTTATTCTCGTCCACTGGAGTCCTACATTACGCTGATCGTAAGATACGGTTCTCAATAGATCATCGAAGTCAAGTATTATTGGTCGCAGTCAATGGGTGATTACTTTGATTAGTCTCATCCACTGGAGTCCGACATTGGGCTGATCGTAAGACACGGTTCTCAATAGATCACCGGATCAAGTATCATTGGTTGCAGTCAATGGGTGATTACTTTGATAAGTCTCGTTCACTGGAGTCCGACATTGAGCTGATCAATCGTAAGACACGGAGATCATTGTAGTTAAGTATCATTGGTTGCAGTCAATGGGTGATTATTTTGCTTATTCTCAAACGTAATGAAGGTGGAAAGTATCGTCATCGTTAAGCTGTTCTACCGTAAAGTGCTCAATTCTCAACAAGCTTTAACCCATTGACAGTTCTGCACGTAAACAGTTGTATTTTAACCTGGAGTCTTTTCCCCATAGCAAAACCAGTTTCACCATGTACTTCGACAGCAAAATAGTGTATAGGGTAGAAATATTTCCCAATTTTTCACTTCCGCTAAACATTCAGTGGGTTAAAATTAGTTTAAAAGTTTTTCTTAAAATCAGTTGTCTTCTTTATTTCCCGTTCTTTTTATGACCATCATCACCCTCGATCCCATTTTAGAGACGGTTTCTAGAAACACATTTTCGACATAAAATTGGCCTAAAAATTGTTTTTAAATGTCTTAATTCATAAAAGTTTTTCCTTGCTTCCATACATGGAGAGTTTGGTTCAAAATCTTGCCTTTTTTCAAGATCGATTGAAGATTATTATTTTTGAAATGTTTAAAATAAAATGACAAGTTTATTTGATTAGAAACATATTAACAAATCAGTATATAACAAATAATACAATATACTAATTGGATAAAATTTAAATTTAATCATTTTGAATTGCTTGCGTTGACTGAAAACAGATTTACATAAAGTTTAGTTAAAAAGTAAATGTAGACATTTAAAAAGTGAATATAACTTATTTATAGTTAATTGTTTCTGAAAGTTAATTAAAAATCTCTGTCATAATATGTTACATAGCAAGGAAACTTAAACCATTGACTTTATAATATAAGAAAAAAAGCAACATATATTTAATTTAATTTTAATTTCATGATTTTTAATTTTGGTTAGTAATCAAATTAAAAAATGTAATAAAAACGTAGAATAATATTAAAAAGGGATGATAAATAAATATTATTTGTAACTGCCGTAAGTGATTAAAATATCATAGGATTTTTCTGTTGGATGAGAATGCTCTAAACAATACAAGGAGAATTATCTTTCTGCGATATAAAGAGAAACGTCTATTGAAACACAATTTTATAGGCTGTAAATTACTTTTCTTATTATTAGCATTAGTTTAAAGTTTCGGTTTCATATCAATGCATTCTTAATCTCGTTTTGTAACATTTAAAAACAGGCTTCTCCATCTGTTAATTTTATTGGCCAGTATTTTGGCAACTTGTAGCGGAAAGAACCCTGCAGTGGAATGTGAAGATAACAATAAAGGCCTTACGTATTTGAATCTGGCAAGTGACCTGATTGGAAAAGCTAGAGACAATTATCCAAATTGTAAGTAATTATTTTTCAAGTTGTTGCTCTCCGTAATCACCGTCCTTTGCATACGATTATCATGTTATCTTTGTATATGTTGAAACCTTGACAAAATTAAATTTATAATGTCAGACGCATCATAAGTCAGAAGTTGTTATTTAAATGAGTAATAAAAAAAACTGTTATAAAAAATATGAAGTATACAGCAATGAAGTAAATCACTTTAAGAAATAGAGAAAAATTAGAAAATTTTACTACTGGCTAGTGGATAGTTGTAGAATTTTTAACAGTAAAATCTAGTGATGTGGCTATTTTTCAAACTTGAAAACTTTGAACGATTAAGAAAAACTTAATGTAATTAATGTAAGGTATATCTTTAAATTATTTCTCAAAATATGACAACATTACAAAGTTCATTTCTAATACAAAGAAAAATTTTAAGAAACCAGTGCGAAATAATGAGAAATCTTTAGAATGTTATAAAATATTCATAATAATTCCATATTTATTCTAAAAAGTAATAAAGCGCACACAAAGTTCAGTTTCGACTGAAAAAGTAGCGATTGGGACACGAATGGCAGGCAATTATTTAATCACTATTTGTTATATTTAGTCGGCCTGTGGTGACCGTTAACTGTACCCTTAACTATAAGGGGTCTTAAAAATCAATGCTCAAGTNTTTCCAGGTGTCTCTCCGTTTGGCGACAGGCAATTATTTAATCACTATTTGTTATATTTAGTCGGCCTGTGGTGGGTGTTAACTGTACCCTTAACTATAAGGGGTCTTAAAAATCAATGCTCAAGTTTATGAAAATGGGGGAAGACCGAGATAGATGAAGTTGAGATTTAGAAATCAGAAATTGAGTAGAAAAGGTATGAGGCAGACTGATTTGGAGTCGAATTGTTAAAGAGGCCATGGTTTATCCTTGGCTGTAGTACCAGGAATTAAAATAAGTAGGAATCTATATTATATATAAAAAACTGATGTTTATATAGCTGGAACAATTGGTAGGTGGTACAATTTCTTTCTCGAGTAGTCAACAAAGAACTGAAGAATGATGACTACATTAAATGGTCATCATCATCAGTGACTTACTATGATTACTATGCTTTTACGAACTTGCATATACTTATTTTTTTTTTATCAAACTTATTCACAGAGTGGTTGCTTTTCTGCTGAACTAAATAAATTTAAAAGAAAAAATGGTTTGAACTACTATACTTCTTGTAAACACCGCATATATATTTTAAATATCTTTACCTTAGATTTAAGCAATAGTTGATGAATTTATACACGTATTTCAGGCTCGAATGCTAAACCTTATTTATACTCAAAGCCAATAGATTGTGAAGAGTGGCTGCTAATGGGTTTTAACAAGAGTGGATCGTATAAAATTGAACCAAAAAGCAGACTATTGAATGGGAAATCAATAGACGTATATTGTGATATGGAGACTGATGGCGGTGGCTGGACAGTAAGTTTATAGTTTCAAAACATCGATTATCCTCGATTTATTATTATTTTTTATTTAAAACAGTAATTGAATGTAATTATCCGGTAATAAGAATAAGGTAAGGTATCAAGATATTTAACTATTTGTTGCAATTCCTAAGAAATTGAGCATGGAAGTATTTAAAGAGAGATGAAAATTGTTTTAAAAGTTAAGGTATAAGACATGTATGGAAATACAGTTTGGCTCTCCTTAAGTTTGTGCAAAGTCATTTGACTCCAGTTAGTCTAATAGGAGAAATTATTGAGGAAGAAATGTTTTGCTGCATTTATGCAAGTACTTGATCTAGCTTGAACTTGATCTTAATTCGGAAGCTGTCCAACTTGTTTTTCAGATGTGCTCGTTTGGTAAAAACCTGAGGATTTAGCAGGTATGGGAAATGTGGCAATGCGTTTGAGGCATTCCCGTGATATCGTTGTTTTGTGTGAGTGAGCAATTTTTTGTTGCAAAATGGCTCCCTGTAGCCTTGCTTTGAGTGATAAACATATGCCTGAAGTATGTCGTGAACGTACCACTTGACTGCCATTTCACCGTGGATTGATATTAAGAGTGATCCTGTATCGTATGAGATGGCACCCCATAACATCAAACCAGTTGTGTAAGTGGTGTGTTAAAGTACAGGTGTTCTACAACGGACCCCCGTGCACTTAGGTTAGCACCGCCCTAATTAACTCTGGAATCATAACTTTAGATGACCTGATTTCATTCGGTCGCAGTCCAATCCCGTCTAGAGCAACACTATTCCAAACGGAATCAAGGAAAGGTTGGGCCAATCCTGCATGTTCGATCACACACATTCAGGGTGTCACAGGAATGCCTTCGTCACATTACCATCCTTCGACGACCTACTCGATAGTCAGATTTGTCACCGAACGAACATATCTCTAACCACGTAGAATGGTAAGTTGGACAGACTCCGAGGTCTATTTAGCTGTGTTTCTACAGCAGCTGTGGAATGAGATGCCGTAGGACGCCATAAGGAACTTATATGCCTCAATGCCTGATCGTATCGCATCTTTTATTCATGCCACAGGTGGCCTAAGAGAGTATACTAAAACGTCTACTCATTTGTATTTTTTCCTGTAATGAATGATCTTTTTGGTTTGAATTTTTTAATTACTTATGGTTAAAATAATCATTCTTTTACTTGGCGAAACCCTGAAGCTCTCGAAAGAAAATTTGAAAGATTCACTTAAGCAAAAGGGAAAGGTCTGGAAACCTTTCTCTTCAGTGAAAAGGAGAGGTTTTAGAGGTCTCTTATGCTGCCTTTAGCTAAAATTTTGGCAAGATATCTTCAGAAGCGGAACTTTATTCGTGTAGTATAGAGTAATCAAACATAAAGCTCCATAAACATTAACTTGTGACATTAACTTATATATCACATAAACACATTACTCAGTCTTTATGAAGCTTGTGTACATTTATTTCACTGTACTTTGTACATTAAGAAATTCCTGCCTTTGATTTTTCTTTCTTCTTTAAATAGGTTATTCAAAGGCGTGGGAATTTCCTTAGACCTAAAGATTACTTTTATCAAGACTGGTCAAGTTACAAAACAGGTTTTGGCCACATAGAGAGAGATTTCTGGTTAGGTATGCAATATTATCATATGGTCATAAGCAACGTTTCTGAGGCAGAAATGATAGTAATATTTGTATTTTAAAAACATTGTTTTTGACTTCATTATATTACAGTAAAATAATGAAATATTATAACATTTTTTACAATTATTGCTATTATGTAAGTTGACCATATTTACTTTTAATGCTATTAATAATCATATGTGACAATTAACCATTATTACTTGTTATAATTGCCTGTAGTGGTATTATAATTTCCGGTGTAACTATAGATGTTTTGAATGATCTCTGTTGACTTTGATCATAACTAAATATATACACTGAGAAAAAGAAATATAGTCAAAGCTACCAGAATATGGTGAAATAAGCCACGTTTCTGGCTCTATAAGAACACCAAACATCTCGGTATTTTTTACGAAGCGCTTTGGTCATGGTTTTGGTAAAATTAACAATGAAATATTGTTTTATAATGAGTGATAAAATATGGTGAATGTGGTAAAATTTGGTAATTTTATCATGATAGTTTAGAACATGTGTTAAATTTACTTTTCAGTTTTGTATTTTTTACTTAATGTATGGTAATATATAATATTGAAAACCAGAGTTTCCAGGAAAACCGTTACAGTATGGGAATTTTACTAGAATTTTTCTCCGTGTAGATAGCATACTATATAATTCTTAATGCAAAATAGGACTAGTTCTTGTTTAAAACCTGGCTTGTATATGAATCTTACATTTTTAATTGAATGTCATAATTTTAGGTAATGACAACATATTTGCTTTAACAAATCAAAAGCTCTATTCAGTACGCTTTGATCTGAAAGACGTGGAAGGAGATAAGAAATACGCTCTGTATGACATATTTTGGATTGATGATGAGATTCAGAAGTATACGCTACACATACAAGACTACAGTGGTGATGCTGGTAGGTTTCAAACTTGGTTTTATTCAGTATTTTGCTGTATAGAAATTTGATTAGTTATATTGCATGTAACCTTACTCTACCTATTATCCACCAAAATAAACATGCACCAGGCTTCGATATTTATTTTGATTTTTGGGTTTGTTTTAATATTTAATTTTGCTTTTCGGTGCAATAAATTACTTTCCAATATAGCATTCATTTATCAAATGAGAATTACACGAATTTTAACAAAACGTTGTAAACTTGTTTAAAATACTGAAACGTGATTAGGAGGCAATAAAATATTGAAATAAAATCAAATGTAGCAACACAAAAAAAAGAAAAAAATTTCTTCTTCTCCAGTAGCATCCCTGGGTGGGCCTTGGACTTCCCGATAAGTCTTTTCCAGGTGTCTCTCCGTTTGGCGACTGTCCTCTAATCTTTAGTTTTAAGAATGTTCATGTCCTTTTCGAGACGGTAGATCCATTTAAGGCAAGGTTTAACTCTCCGTCTAGATTTTATATGCTTGGCTAGAAATAATCAGGAATTTTTGCAGGCACTAAAAAGCCTGTTTACTGCGCAAATTACTCAGTGCAATAGACTACAGTAGTAAAAATTATGATACATTTATTTAAAATATAATAGTTTCTAAAACTTAACTTTATAAATTTTTTTTAACTGAACAGTTACAAAAATGCACGCAAAAATCATTTATATTTTAATCCACAAAAATCATTTTAATTTTAATATTAGAGCAAGTTTTCTCTTTATAATCTTATAGTGTTTCTGAATTTATGATTGTGTTTAGTAACTATTGGAAAGTTAGTTCTTGGAAATACATTATTTTGTTTTCAGGTGATTCAATGGAGATGCACAAAAATATGAAATTCTCAACTAAAGATGCTGATAATGATCTTCAGATAAATCAACATTGCTCTCAGAAATATAAAGGTGCCTGGTGGTACAATACCTGCCACACAGCGAATTTAAATGGACTGTATCTTCGGGGAAAACATGATAGCTTTGCAGATGGCGTGATCTGGGAAAGTTGGAAGGGTTATAAGGAATCCTTAGACACTACTGAAATCAAAATAAGATCCAAGAACTTCAAACACAAACCTTTTGTTAAGGAATGTGCGGAAATTCCACAATAGTAAAGATTCACCTTTACATGAATATTCAAATTTGTATGAAGATTTTAATTTATAAAGTAATAAAGTTTTGAAAATGTTACAAACTGTTCTGTTTTCCTGAGATCTTTTATCAATTAAGTAATGGAAGATTGAAATATTTTTCAAACAAAGATCGAAGAAGAGATAGATAACAAATCTGGGGCTAATTTTATTATCATTTTTGTGAAACTATTTGGAATTAAGAATGAAAGATTAAATGTTTTAGCTAAAGATGACGCTTCTTACAAACAATAGGAACGTTTGGTGATAGGGCAAGCCTAGTTATTTTTTTTAATTACACTTAAAAATGTATTGTCTTCCATGTAGATTGCTAACTTTTTCTTACAGTTATGTTACATCAAAAGTAGGATATTCTTCTAAATTGTAACCTAGGTTGCAAAACAACCCCACCATTTAGAACAAATTGAAATCATTGCCTCTTTGAATTACCGAAAAATCGGAGTTTTCGAAATTCGAATCTAGCATATAAAGAGAAAAAAAGAGATCTAAAAAATATATATGTTGGATGGTTCGATTATAGCTTGCTCATTAGCGACTTTAAAATCTTCTGATAAATTTTCAACGCTCTTTTGCACTATTGTTTTCAATAGTGTTATTGAACTATCATGTCTTTTAATATACCATGATTCTTAGTGCACATAGTCTTGTTGATCACGATTCTTATTTTTCTGATTCATGAAATAGAGCTTTAGCTGATAACTTTCAGAAAACACATAGTGTCAAAAAATTTCTCTATTTTTTTGGTTCTAATTAATTTTTTCTTTATTATTTATGAAAAAAGAAGCATTTTTGCTGTAATCGAAGTCAAAGTTTAACTAGTTTAGTGGCTCTAATTTTCGAAACAAAGGTTTTAAATAATAACTGCACAGCTTTGATGGAACAACTCAAAATGTCTAATTTTGATTTTGTGTATGACAAAAAAATTATTACTACTACCTTGTAACATGTCTAATTAAAGAGAAAAAAATTAATAAACTTATGATACATTTCAGAATCTTTTTATTTAAGCAGGAGATGAGCTGAATTAGAAACTTAATTCAAACAAGCGAATCCCAAAAATTTGTTTCTTTTTTTAACCTACGATTAAACTTAAAATTACAAAGAATACTTCATTGGATAGTTGACAGATATTTATTGACGGGGAAAAATAATTTTCAAAAAAGCATTTTTTTTGATAAAATAAATATAAAAAAGAAAATATAAGGACATTTAAAAAAATAACATTTTCACTCAGAAAACGATTAGGAGAAAAAGTTTTGTTTTTAATACCGCCATTGGATACCTGCAAGTGACGTCATTGTAGGTAAATAATTGCATTTTTCTATTCAGAATCCAATCACGTTTGACACACGCGTGTGACGTCACTTACAGGTATCCAATTAAATCTGATTTAAATCACATGGTTAGGCATTGTCACTTCATTTCTTCTGGAGTTGCTAGTATCCAATTCTATCCTAAATTATTTCAGCAACTACAGTAATTTGTTCCTTTACATGAAATAAATTTTATTTTGCACCCTGTGAAAAATTTTGAAGGACGGTGAACCATAATATGATTCACGTTTTCTGCAATCTTAATAGGGTCCTGAGTAAAATCATATTATTGCACTTCTTAAAATTGATAACATAATGTTATGGTTTGTCTTGAATGGGAACAAGATTCATTGTAACACCTAATTCAAGTTGCAACGAGTGTGTACAGTATTAAGGCTCGAGGTACCAATCATATGATTCGACGTTGAACCCATTTTCTTGAGATAGTACCGCCTTTATATATAT